CATGCAGCTCTATGGGCTCTGATGCAGCTCTATGGGCCCGATGCAGCTCTATGGGCTCTGATGCAGCTCTATGGGCCCCATACATCGCTGTTACTGAACCCATCACTAGAAAATGTCAATAGAATGTCTAGAAATATATTTACTGAGAGAAATGGTGGAGTTTAATATTTATTTTTCCCTCTGTACTTCTGTATACTTAATATTTTTCAGTAAAGTAATACCTTTATTCTGCACCACTATAGATGTTCTGTTGATGTATTATTTTTGGAAAAAAATAACAGTTTTTAAAGAAAAAGTTGTATCTATAACCTTTAAGAAATACCTGTTAAAGGTAATTAAGAAACGAACTGAGCTGCATCTGGAAAGTGAGGAAATATAATCATCAGACATTTTGTTGGATTTTTTTCCAGGGTGAGAGAGGCTTGCCGGGTGTACCAGGACCATCAGGTCCTTCTGGGACTGGACTTCCTGGACCAAAGGTCAGTGTGAACAAATTTTTTTCATGTATTTGGAAAGTGCTTAATTTCCTTTAGTAACTTGCTTAATGTCTTTAATTTCCAGGGCTCCACAGGAAAACCTGGCCCACCTGGCATGCCTGGGCCTCCAGGAGAAGGACAACCAGGACCAAAGGTAGGGAGGAAAAAAGGGAACAACTCTAAGAACTGAATGAACCATTTCGGTTTCATCTTGTTATATAAGGACAGGTTGATCACGCCGTCGGCTTTGGTCACTGAGCCGCTGTGTCGGCCTGCTTAGCACCAAATAAACAATCCATCAACCTGTGTCCTCAGGGAGAGCCTGGATTTCAAGGGCCAGTGGGGTTAAGGGGGTTTCCAGGGCAGAGTCTCCTAGGAGAGAAGGTACAGTAGCTCAGAGGTTCCATGCAGGACTCATTTCATATCAGTCTTATTGGCGGTGCTTGAAAATGTGATGATAAGGGAAGTTTTTATTCTTTTGCAGGGCAGTCAAGGATCTCCTGGGCACAAGGGAAGAAAGGGAGAAACAGGAGACTTTGGACCACCTGGTTCCCCTGGACCCATGGTAACATCATCTCCAGCTGGTTTAAGAAGCTTTTCTGTCACTTTACTGTCATATTTAGGCCGTTTCTGACTGAATTACGGCTGAAAGAATTAATCGGATTAATCGATTATTGAAATAATCTTCAGCTATTTTAGTAATTGTTTAACTGTTACCTGAACGACCTACTTAGAGCAGGTATTATACCAAGATTTTATCAACTGTATGAAAATATTCAATTTAAGACGTGTCAATATCCTTCATCCAGAACAGTTTTAGTTTCACCTTGTTTAATAAAAAGTCTTCTATATGGAACATTTGGCGATCCGATTATAATCGAAAAAAAATAATCAACAGATTAATCAATTTGCAAAATAATCATTAGCTGCAGCCCTAAACTGAATACTTTGTTATGTTAGAGTAGAATATATAAATATATACTAAAATGTAAAGTTTTTTTTTTTACTATAATAGTATAGTACAATCTTTGTTTTTATTATCAGATATTTCTGTCATTCTACAGTAAATACTTCAATATCAAGGCTCAATTGATATCAATTTTATTTCTCCCACACTTTATACATTTGATCACTGCTGCACTTCATGGAATAGAAATGTCATCAAAGCTGTACAAAATGAAATTCTTTTTCTATACACTCTGTGTATATGAAATGGCAATGTCTAAGTAAATGACCATATTCTAATCCTATAGGGGAGACCCGGAGAAAAAGGAGAGCCAGGACTTACGGTTAGTTCCTGACTGCTATCAGATGCATTATGAAGAAGTTCTACGTCTCTTACTTTGTTCTGTTTCTCACATACAGAAAGACGAGGTCATCCAGATCATAAAGGAAATACTGGGTAAGGTCCTTCAGAGCAGAGCAGCCAGGAATATTTCATGTGGTTCACACCTTGGTGACAATGACAGTCACAGACCCCCCCTACAGGCGGGAAGCATGGTAGGCAGGTCCAAACTGGTTCAAAGTTTTCTATCTAAGGAAAACCAGTTGATTGCATTGACTCATTGACTCAAATACAATCCCTCACACTAGGTCAGGTCTTGGTACCGAACTCTACAGGCACAGGCAGGTACAGTTTTGAAAAATGAGACCCATGCAGGACTCTGATATACGACCGTACACATTGCTAGCTGAAAGCCTGCCTCAGAGGTACAACTTTAATTAGTGGTTGATAAGATAGCAGAGCATATTTTTATACATGAAATTGGTCTTCATAATAAACATTATAGAGAAGGTAGAATCACAGTTTCAGATGGTTTGATGTGAAATAGTTTTAATAAATCAGGATATAGAGCTACAATCTGCAAATATCTGACATTCTCTGCCTTTTTACATCTTTTTTATGTCCTAGGATGTGGAGTCATGTGCAGAGGGAGTCCACTAGAACTTGTATTTGTCATTGAAAGCTCGTGGAGTGTTGGACCAGAACATTTTGAACTGGTTAAGGACTTTGTTATTGCCATTATTGACCAGCTACCAGTCAGCCAGGGAGCTAGCCGTGTTGGGGTCGTGCTCTACAGCCGTTTGAACAAAGTGGTTGTTAGTCTGCAGCAGCAGCCCAGCAAAGATGAGATTAAGGAAGCTGTCAGAACCATGCCCTACCTGGGTGAGGGCACCTTCACCGGTAGCGCTGTCCATCGAGCCAAGCAGCTGTTCCAAGCCTCTCGGCCTCATGTGGGGAAGGTGGCCGTGGTTTTAATGGCTGCTCAGTCAGATCGACGGGATTTCATGGAGTTTAAAGAAGCCGTCTCTGATTCCCATGAAGAAGGCATTGAGCTGTTTGTTATAGCCGTGGGAAACAAGACTGATCTTTATGGAGAATTCCTGACTCAGATAAGAACGTTTGCCTCAGACCCTGATGAAGACCATGTCTACCTCCTGGATGACTTTCAGATGTTATCTGGTAAGAATATGCACTTATGTTTCTTTCTTAAAACTCACCATCCCAGTGTCACACACTGTAACCTGCCGTCATTTAGAAGGTTTAGGGTATAGTGAATGAACCATGGAGAGGGTACTTATACAAGCAGTAATTCCCCTTTTAGTTCATTCCTTATGTTTGTGTTCTCTGTATATTCAGACAATCACTATTAAGCTTCTGTCCTCGTCAGCATCAGAAATGGTTTTTACGTCTGCTACTTTACAGGTTTTACCATCTATAGGGCCAGCCAGGTCTGCATACACAAGCTCTCGAATGCCCTTTGCCTTGCTTCTCTATTTCTGCTCTGAGCAGATTTGCCTTTGATGCACACTTCACATGTCACATTGGAGTTCGCACTTTTTGTTTTCATTTTCATCCCTTCTGTTACATTTTCCAACTTTTACATGTAATCATAATTACAGTGTCCCAAAATGTCATGCCATGTCTGGATATCATAACACACATTGCATTTGATCAGCTTCATCAGCAGTACTGAGATAGGTCGTGAGTATGAATATCAAAATTTGAACTGTTCATATGGATGAGTCGATTCTGCCGCGCTTTAAAGATGACAGTCTCTCCCTGCGTTGTAGCCGCTTTAACTGAAAAGATGTCCTGGGAGAATGATGGCACATAGAGCGCCTCCATCAGCGATACATCCACAATGTGACCTTTACTGTCTGTTAGATGTACTTTGGCTCCGCCTTTCCTTTGTACAACACCAGTGGTTTCTCTCCAACAGCCAACTCCAATCTGTGGCTCTGAGGCTTGAAAGTTGGATCAAACTGTTCAAACCTGTTGATGTCAGTGAGTCAGACTCTTCAATCAGACCAGGACATCCTCCAGCTGGACCTTGGAAGTGAACGTGTGGTCCTCCTCATCCACCGCTTGCTTCACTTTGTCCCGCTTTCTGTGCCGATAGTGTGCGTCCTTGCGCGTGGCGCTCTTACATATGTTGCACCATTGCCAGGACTCTGCACTTGACAGCAGCTGACGAACAGTCCACAGCTCTGTGGCGCTTCTGACCACAAGTGAAACAGGGAGTGGTAGCCTAGTGGTTAGGACAGAGAGTTAATTTCCTTGCCCTGAACTTGTGACAGTGTAATGAAAATAAAACGCTGGAAAAAACCAAACAAATGGCTTCCCCTTCCCTGCGTAATGGTCACAGAGGATCTGCAGCGTTTCATGACAAGGGGCAAACTTTTGTCATTCAGCACTTGAACTAGAACTGCATACAATTCTACTTTCCATTCTTACTGGTGTCTTCCTTGGCACCTTCATGAGGGACTTCACTTAGGATAGAGCTTTTGAGGTCAAGCAAGTGCGCCAAAAACTTGGTTTCCTACATAATTTATTTTCACCTCCGTCAAAACATAAGCGATTCTATCAGCTCCCAAACTCTTTACTAGGACCATGGCCTGTTGGCGCAGCCATCGCCTCTACAGCGGACAGAGGCAAGATAAGACACAAAGACATGGATTTCCATTTGGCCTGCATGCTATCATTTTTGTGACTGGGCTGCCGTCATTTATTGATGATTACCCACCAGTATGTAGCCATGCCAACATCCAAAAGTGGATACCAGGGTCAATTAGGGACACAGATGTCAACAGAACTTATCCATCTTTTAGCCCCTTGGCCCATGCCTCCCATGTCGAGCTTTTAGCCGATCATTACAACATTTTGTTTCACAACTAGCAAAGTTGACTAATAAATCAAACTATTACCAAATCCAGTCAGGAGGAACACACATACATCTTTCCGATCCTTAAAGTCAGAAATCGTGTTATTTTGCTTGTTTTTCAATAATAAACAGTAGTCCAGCTAAAACCTGTAGTTTATGCTTTAACGTCATACATGTCACTGCATTTCATTGGTCCGAAACATTTCTGTTTTGAGGCTAATGCATCGTTTTGCTTCCAGCTAGATATATTTTTGGGAGTTCGTGCACAAATCTTGTGACAATTCATCTGGCTTGCAAGGTAACCTCTGCCCTCGACCTTCCTGCTTTGATGTGTTGTTTTTTTTTCTCAACCAAATTAGAAGATAGTGCTGCTCCACTTCGACTTGTTTGTCTCTAGAAATCAAGTGAACTGCAGAGACTGAATTGTAGTCAGTCACCAGGTCCTGATGGTGTCAGCCCTCCTGAAACGTTGAACACCTGAGACGCGACAGCACCATCCAAAGACCCTCTGCTACCTCACCATATACCTTTTTTTTACTCAACAACATTCAAACCTGCTTCTTTCTAGTGTATATAACAGTAACAGGCTTTGACCATGTATTTGCCTGATATAACTGTCCGGAATGTCCTAGTGCTTTATAACACACAATTCACTTATCAGATTAATTCCAATGAAGAAACTCATGGCAAGTCACATCAATTAGAAGAAGACTTAAATGTTCCTATAAAACATTTTATTTAAACTATTAATGATTTACTGATTATAAGACCATCATTTTAATCCTTTAATCCAATACAGCGACCGCATCACTGCTGACGCTGCACCGATCAATCTATCCATCTCACGCTCCATCCGTCCCTCTATAGTAAACAACATGTCGAGATACTTAAACTCCTCTACATGATACAAGGACTCTCCTTTCTTTAATATTTATATCCTTCTTTAATATTAACTAATGTCAGAACCACAAAATGTTTTAAAATAACAAGAATTGTTTTTCATTTCTTATGTAGGTCTAGAGAATAATTTACTGAAGCAGATTTGTGATCAAGATGCATCAACAGCGTTTCTACCAAAATGGTTTTTCTCCTCTGTGGAAACCCATCTGGATTATCCGGAAGACAGGGACTCAACATTCATCCCAAAAGATGAAAACATAAAGGTAATGTCTTTGTAATATTAGCACTTTTGTGGTAAAAATTATTTATGCTCACTGTTTATTTTATTCATGCCATGTGAGACTGGTTGAAGTCATTGCCATCTAGTTTATTTGCTTTCCGAGGACAGTGAACTTAAACTTCTTGTTGTTGATAACGAGTCGAAATATGGCTGGGTCCTAGGAAGGTCTCAGGGGGTTTTAAAATTGTAGAGAAGCGGCTGTTACAACCGTTTCATTGGTGAATTGTCCCAAACTGTGCCCAACAACGAGTGAATAAAGTAAATGT